TTTGGTTAGAAGAATTTTAAGTAAGCTTTATTCATAAATATTGGGAGATGTTATGTACTCAGCTGAATACCCTCTTTAGAAAGCTCTAGTTGCAAATTCTCATGAACTAAGCAGATGTTCAAGGATACATCACAAATTCTGTCTGCTCACCAATCCAGATGTCATAAATTATTCCTAGATTCTCACGTAGTGGATGAATAATGGGGTGATGTCTCTTTAAATTCTCTTGTTTATCATTTAAGTGGACTATCATTTTGATTGTATCTCTTTCCTTTAGTTGTGAAGATGTAAAAGAACAAAGTGAAGACACAATATTTTGGTACAGCATGTGCTAGTTGGCTCAGGGGATTTCCACTGGTGTGCTCACCCACTTTGGGTGGGGCGGGAGATGGTGAACGGGCCTCAGAGAGAAACCTAAAATCAGCATGTGGCGCTCCATAGACAATGAGAAGGGTCGCCAATCCTTCTAGGATCAGAATGTGGGGGATGGCAGACAAGAAGGGTGCCTTCTCTCTTTCCTCACTCATCTTGTTGGTCCTTTGAAACTTGGAAAAGCTGAGGAAGACCTTGCTCCACCTATTCCTCAGATGAGGGACATTTCCTATATGGCATTGTCATTATTGTTTGTCGGACAAGAACAAACAGAGAGAAGAAAGGAAAGTTAGGAAGAGTCTGCAGGCCACCTGAGCATCCAAGCATGGGATCAGGAGGCACGTATCCGACCATGAGTGAAGCAAGGCCCCGCATGGCAGTTTCTGGGACCACCTGACTTCACCCGGGTTGTGCTCTTCTGTCAAGACTTCCTTTGATCTCTACCTTTCCTCTTCCTTCTGTTGTACATTGTCCTCTTCACTCTCATGACTTCCTATGATGTGGTGAATCATTGAAAAACACTCGATTTTCTTGTTTCTCATCTGCAAGCAGAACACCCTGAATTCCAGCTGAGACCCCTATTGCTCCAAGTCTCCCTGCCTTCTTCCCCGCTCACCCCAGTGATTATCATTTGTGAAATGATAATCCGCTCACCCATTTGTGAAATAGACAAAGCACATAAAAAATGTTGTTTTATTTTCATATTGTAAAAGATTACGTGATGCTCCTGTATAGCTGGTAGAGACCAAAAGAGTTGGAAAATCTAACCTATTAGTGAGATTTCAGATCCTGTAGTGTTAAAATGAGAGGAGTGTGTGAATTCTTTATTTGATTGTGGTCTGCTTTAACTCAATTAAAGCCCAGTCCAGAAAGATACAAGCCTTCCATCTTTTTGCCAAACAGAAAGGGCAGAAGTTTTCCTGCGTAAATTCAGGCTGAACGTCTTAAGTTCTTACTTAAGTTCTTACTCATTTTTACTACTTGGACACATCTCTTAGGAACAGAAATTTCATGTCTATCCTTTACAGAAATTATAAATCGAGTAAGACAGTTACAGAGCATTATCTCTTTCAGCACTCATGGGAAACAAACTACTTCCAGAGCAAAAGAAGTTCTGAGTCAGTTTTTAGATGAAGTTTATTACATAGCCCTTACACATTTAGTAGTTGGTCCAGAATAAGAGTATTGAAAAGCCACTTGCCCTGTGCTTGTGTATTAAAGGACAGAACAGTGACACACATCAGCAGCCTATCACAATAGGAATATTCTGGAAAGAACCTGATATTTGAAAAATATACAAGAATACCCAGTCTACAGAATCTGTCTTGACTACTCCTTGCTGCAGACAACTTACCTTCTTTAATGAAGCAATTGTATTCTTAAGATGAAAAACATTTTTTGGCCTCCACCTTCCTGGGGGTTGGGAGGCCTGCTCACTGCAGTGAATGGGGTCACTCAGCACCAGGCGCTGAGTAGGTAAGGATGGTTGTAGGGGAACCTCCTGCAGTTCTGGTCCTATACTAATGTCTTCAGCATTTTATCAATAGGTGCTGAATCAGTCTCTAGGGCTCAAGGGGGAGTCCCAGCATTGTGACGTTTCACCTCCAGGAGCACAATATGTTCCTTGTTGTGGCTCTTCTTTCATTTCCCTTTCCTCCTCACCCCAACTCTTCAGTCCTAGGTCTTGGTGTAGTCTGTGTTCTTTCTGGGCAGATTTTGAGATGTCACAGTTGTTTTGCTTTTACAAGTTTTCAGCCTCCATCTCGGATGCACCAAGAATGGAATGTTTGAGCACCAACCTTGTCCTCTTTGATGTGCTATGAGAAAGTGAGTGCTTTGATTTCAGAACATGCCCAAGTTTTGATAAAGGTTTGAACAACACACACTGATCCTTGGGGAGAGGGATGTGCCTGTTGGCAAAGCTGTCTCTGGGTGCTTCTGTGATTCTGAGCCTCTCCCAGCTCAGACTCAAGCCCTGGGCCCCCAGGTCCCCACTGGTTTGGGGGAAATCTGGACAAAGTGACCACATGTGTGCCCAGACCTATTCCTCTCCTCAGAGTCTCTTACCAGTCTTTACAGTCTGTTCTGAGAGACGGCAGCTGAAGTCCACACTCTCCCAGCCATATCCCAGCCCAGACCCCTGGGAGCATCAGCAGAGGCCTCACTTCAACTTCAAACCTCCTCTTGTCCTTTTGGAACCCAAGACCTATGTCTACTGAAGGTCCCATCAATAGCTCTAGTGTTCTATATTTTCCTGAGCAAACCATGCAAAGTCAAGATTTGAAGTGACCCTGAGTGATACTCTTCATGAAATTCCACAGAGAATCAGCATGTGACTCTAAAACAGAAAGAGCAAGGGGTCTGTCTGATGTTACAATATATCCACCTTTGTTATGTTGTTAAGATTATAATTGTCACTGAGAACCTTTCCATGAAAATGGTAGAGTATCGCTGACTTTTGTTCCCTCATGTGAACCTTTATGGTTTTATTTTATTGTCAGCCTTAGGAACCTCTGGGGTTCAATGCAGCCTTTTGTTGCCGTTGCATGTACTACCTGGGCTCTGCTGTTGAAACAAGGAGACCCAGAACAGTGGCTTTCAAAAAGATGCAAATGTATTGGTTTTTCATAGTATATGATCCAGGGAAGGAGGACAGCTCTAAGGTAGTGCCTGCATTCAGAAACCCAGTCTCTTTCATTTGCTGGGCAACTGCTCACGTCTTGAGTTTGATTTAGGAGCACCCTGATCCCATTCCAGTCAGTGGGAAGTATGTCAAAGGAGAAACTGGGGAGAAGCCAACTTCCCTTTTATGGAGATGACTGGGAGTTACTTCTGGCTCATGACCTAGTGGACAGAAACCCCATGGCCACGTCAGCTTCAAGGGAGGAAGGTAAATGCCATCTGAAGAGGAGTTGCTGTGTGCCCAACTGAGGCTGAGTTCTATTAGTTGGAGGAAGGAGGGTAGAGTGTGTGTTGGGAGAACAGCCTGTGCAAGAACTGTACACTCAGGGGTGATGTGTGTGTGAGTTTTGTGGACACCACAGGCAGCAGTAGCTGCCTTCAATTGTGGAAGGAGGAAGGAGGCATTTGACCTTGGGATTTAGGGATGAGTGAGCCTAGATCTGGTTAGGATGGAGCTTGCGCTTGGCCAGTGAGGAGGTAAGATTATTCATATTTATATTATAGCCATTGTTCCTGATCTCAGATCTCTGATCCCAGGATGTTTTCAAGATCATCAAAACTCTAAAACCAACATCCCAAATTGGTAATCTCTGAGTCTCCTGACATTCTAAGTAATATGTAAGGGGAAAAGATTGTTTTATTTTTTTATACTCTCAAAAGTATAAGTATGCGATCTTTCAATATGACTACTCCCCCAACAAAGTTTCAGGTAGTTTCTAAGTCCCAGAGAAGAAAGGTGCAGCATTGGACATTCAGATATTGTTGGGAATGAAGAAGAGAAATGTGGAGCGCAGTGACTGCAACCCTGCCATTGGATTCCCTTGTGGCTGTTTTTGCCCTGGGGGCTGCCTTTGTGAGGGTACTTGTCAAGATGCTCCAGTTGTTATGATAACACCAGCCAAGAGTTACGGCTCCTGGCTCTAATAGTCAGAACCTTGGATTCAGAAACCAACTCCAGGCATAAGGTATTCTGGGCACAATAAGATGTCTCAGGGTTATCTTTCACTGCATGTTTCAGTTGGCCTGCATCTTTCAGTTGGCCTGCTTTGCTAAAACTTTCTCACAAACAACTTTTTAAAAAATAGATATTATTTTTCTTTCTTTCTAAATATATTTTAGTTGTACGTGGACACAATACCTTTATTTATTTGTTTATTTGTATGTGGTCCTGGAGATCAAACCCAGGGCCTCACACTGCTAGGCAAGTGCTTTGCCACTGAGCACAGCCCCAGCCCCCTCACAAACAACTTTCTGGTGAAAATCCTATATAATTAATGGGCTGATCTAGCTCTGGAGTCAGTCAAGCTTCACCAGGGCTTGGCTACCCACCTGGCTCCACTCTTTCTCTCTGTGTGTCTGCTTGTCTTCTCTTCACCCCCCTTCACCCCTATGGTTCCTGATTTAGTGATCCAGGAATGAGGCCTTGGCAGAAGACACCCTCCCTGTCCTTATCTCACCGTGGATCTGCACTTGGACTGAGGAAATCAGCATGGAAGTACTCTGAGCCAGGAGGATGGTCAGTTCTTAAATTTGTTATTTATCATAGTAATCTATATAGGATCTTGTGTAGAAAATAAGTAAGTTCTAAATGCTTTGAATTTTAAGGAGTGGGGCATGGCTTGGAATCATATCATACACACATGGAGTATATCTTCCCCTTCTTGTGCTTGTACATAATGTGGAGTCACATGGGTAGTGTATTCATATATGAATATAGGAGAGGTATTCCCAATTCACTCTACTGTCTTTTCTATTTCCAATCCCCTCGCTTGCTCCCCACTCCTTCCTGCCCAATCCAGTGAACCTCTACTCTCCACCCCCTCAATCTATTGTGAATTAGCATCCACAATTCAGAGAGAACATTACGTCTTTGGATTTTGGGGATTGCCAGTGCCTCTTGTCTGCACTTTTTTTGGTCTGCAAAAGGGGAGTGGGTGTGGAATATTTAATTTGGCCGGATATTCTGCAATTAAAGTACATGGCTCAGTGTCCATCACACAGGGATTTAATGCATGTAAGTTTCTTTACTGCCTGATTTTTCATCAAGAGCATAACAAATATGACTAGCGATATTATAAGATATTGTGCCATGTGTTCCCCTCTTCGCATTAACTTTTACACCACGGTCTTCTCCAACCAGGTATCCACAGCTTTCTGATATGTTCATATTAGAAAGCAATTTAAATTCATGGATTTCAAGTTCAGAACCCACACACTCTGGAGAAAAGGAAGTTTAGAACAACTGTGTTTGAGGCAAGACATCCCGTGCCAGTGCATGTGTGTGTTCACATACATGATGAAGAGCTCCTGAACTGAGGAGGGAGAGGGAAAAAGGGGTCACAGAGAACAGCCTGCAATGTTGACAAGCACTTATAAGATGGAGCCCTCATTTTGCTGCACTGCGAGGTAAACTCAAGGAGAGGGAGCAAGTCCCAGGTAGGCTTGGGGGATGCTAGAATACCAGGCTTCACTTATTGCCTGCATGCTGGGATGTGGCTGTCCCCATGGTGTTCCTAGAGCATCAGGATCCTGGAAGACAAGAGACGGCACTTAGGGTGCAGTATAGGAAGGATCAAGCTAGACTTATTGAGTTCCAGTGTGCCCAAGAGTGTTTTAGTTGCATAGCTTCCCCAACCTCCCAAATGAAAGGTCTACATTGGTGCTTTGAGCACATTCCCAAGTCATGTTCTGTGGCTCTTCTGATCAACATTACCTCCTACACCCCAAGGACAACTGTGTTATTCTGGGAAAGGAGACCTGAGACAACTTAACTGTCCTTCCTACCTACCTTAGAGAAAGTTTTCCCTAGAGGGGTCCAAGAGAGACCAGGCATTGAAATCCCAGTCAAAAGTGGTAAATGGGAGGTGGTAAGTAGGTATTTTGTTGAGAAATACCAGGAGCTAGCAGAAACGCCCAAGGCAGTAGCATTAAGACAAGCTGTACCAGTTCTGAGCTACTAAAGACCCAGTTCCCCCTGTTCCCTTATTCTTCATAGAAAGGACAAAGAAAGTGGAAACACACCCTCTGGGGGAAGTTTTAACCTGTGGTTATCTGCACCAACTCCATCTCACTTTCTCTCCCACACTTTGACACACAAAGCATTGTAGGGGGAACAAGGACAGCTTACAGCCATCCTCACCTGCATGGTTGACTGCTGGAGTTCTGAAGTGGGAACTTGGACTCCATTCACTCCAGAATCCTTCATAATATTCACTATACGGGATGGATCGGACTTTAATCTCATACATTGCTTCAGGTTGCAGTTTCCTCTGCAGGAGGGTCAGCCTTGTATTGGTTAAATTCACGTGCTAAGGAGAAAAATGTGCCAATATATTTTTAGGATGGAAAATGAAGTGTTGCCTAGATCTTTCAAATCACTTCAAGTTCAGTTCCTTGAGTCACACAGGCACCCTCTTGAAGTTCTCTCCTATTTGTCAGACTAAGGAGCTTAAATACATAGAGGGCTCAGCAGCAGAATTAGGGAGAGAGGCTGTGAGCTCATAAATGATGCATGAGCGGCCAAAGAGAATAGTGATAGAATAGGTCTTTATACAAATGGTAATGTCTCCAAGCTTGGGAAGAGGTAGGTCTTTCCCAGGCTCCCAGTTCCTCCTCACAATTCAGTATCTTCTTTTTCTTTCTTTCTCCTTTCATGTGGCAAGGGGAGAGGACAGCATAGTTTAGTGAGCAAGATAATTTCCTTCCAGAAAGATGATTTTACATCTTGAATATCAAAACAGAGGCAATAGCATTCTCAACACTGTGAATTATCCTTAAGGAAGGGAAAGTAAAGGAAAGGAAAAATTTGATTGAAAGTCATATTTCATTGTTATTTACATTTATATCTGTTTGATTAATTTTCTTATATTTACCAAATTTATATATTTATTATATATGCAATTTTCCAATTTTTTAATTCATTTGTCTATGGTGATATTTATCTCTTTCTTAATGATTTATAAGAGCTCTTTATATAGATTTTAGTGATCCATCAGCTGTAGATGTGGCAATATAATCCTAAGTTTTAAATTGCCTTACAATTTTTATTGTTGTGTGTTTACATAGTTAAGTGTATGAAAGAGGGTAGACTTTTCACTTATTCCCCCCTCCCCCCAGACCGGAAGCTGATTGTCTTGGAGGCATTTATCCAAAATTCTTCCCTTCTCCACAATATTTGTTTTCCATTTGTATGATTTTTAGATGAATAATGGAAAACAGTAGGATGAATGTCATTCAGTCTCTCTCCATGTGTGTATGGGGTGAATAAAAGAAGGGAGCCAGTGTTTGGCAGGGAGTATGTTTGTGCAATGTTATTTGCATACTGCAAACAAACAAGGGTGGTCCTGGCCTGAGCAAGGAGGGCAGTGGCAGTAAGTAGGCATTCTTTCAGTCCCCAGAAAGAGAAGGCATCCTTAGGTAGTGCTTTAAGATGAACCTGACACCTGGAATCTTCTACATTTCTTCCACTTCCTTTCAACTACAGCCAGCTCGTCCAACCTCAGAAAACCATGAAGAAAGAGACTAAATAACTATCCAGATAATAAAGAATAGATATTAAGTTCAATGACTAAGACCTCAGACTTGAACATAAAAAGAAAACAGAGATGAATCTGCCCTTCTTCTCCTTACCTCATCATGCTCCCCCAAATTCTCAGATCAAATGGCGGTCACATCTTCTTGCTAACTATTCAAAGAGTGTTTTGCCTAAGAGTGTGGTACTAGGCATGGCACTTTTTGAGGGCTTTGCATTGTGAAGATCCGTTTGGTCTCCATTTATGTGGCTATCTAACTGAGTTAGAAACGTTATAAAGACAAAAAATAGAGTAAGGGGGGAAAAATCAGAGCAAGAGAAGGACAGACTGGAAAAGATGCATGCACATGGGGCCCAAAGCTGGCACAATATTGGGAGCTTCTTTCAGTAAAGGGTGCATTCTGAAAACAAAATTATTAAGACTTCCTGGAGTAAATGCACTTCTGCGACAATAACTTATATAACATTTAGAAGTTTTTACTATGAAACATGATTGATCTACGTACCATCCAATCCTTTTTATCTTTTTCCTGGCGGTAGGCTATGTCATGCATTAATTGTTTTACATACTTTTTCTTCAAGTGTGATGTATGAAAAGTCACCACAAAGTCATTGGCTTCCTCACGATAGATGACTTTTATGTCAAAAGGAGCTTCTGGTTTAACTGGGAAGGGACAAAAGAAATGAAGTTTGTCTATAGAGTCATCAAAGAAATAAAAATCATATATATGGGTGTGAGTGTGTGTGTGTGTGTGTGAGACAGAGAGAGAAAGAGAGAGAGGGAGAGAGAGACAGAGAGAGAGAGAGAATGTGTGTGTGTGTGTGTGTGTGTGTGTGTGTATGAACCAGGAATGGATCCCAGGGGAATTAAACCATTGAGGCACATCCCCAGCCCTATTTATATTTATTTATTTATTTATTTAGAGACAGAGTCTTACTAAGTTGCTTAAGACCTCATTCAGTTTCTGAGACTGGCCTTGAATTTATAATCCTTCTGCCTTGGCCTCCCCAGTTGCTGGAATTATAAGTGTGCACCATCACAACCAGCCTAATAATTACCATTTCAAAAATCCATCTCTACTGAATATCATTCTGACCATTTGCAGGTAGGAAACTAGTTAACTAGTCAAAACTATTGCTTAGTTTTCCTGGGTTCAAATCCAGACACTATTTCCCAGCTACCCTTGTGGCAGGGTGTGAACTGAGTCATGTGTGGAAGTGGCTATTCCAGCTCCAGTCCTGGCCCAGAAACACCCTCTCCCTCCCCCGTGTGATTCCTGTGTGGCACTCCCCTTAGTCATTTGGACATATATGTTCAAGATGGTGTAGCTACAGGATGGAGGTACCCCTGAATATTGCTTAGAGGAGCACCATTCACAAAATGGGATGCGGTTTTGCTTCTGATGTGAGTATGCAATGGACTTAGGTATCAGATATCATGTGTAGGGACTTATTTGTTACAGCATCCAGTGCAAATTTCATATTTGCAAAACCTATTCTCTTTACCTTTGGAATATCAGAGAAGGTATTACTAAATATCCTCTAGCAAGAAGTCTCAAGACTCTGAGTTTTCATTCTTCCAGTAAGACTAGGAGATGGCTGGGACCTTGCACCTCATCTTGGCTACACAGAGTGAAGTGTCTGCATGCTGGGCCTTGCTTGTAACTTCAGAGTGGCCTCAAAGCTCTTCTTTGTCAACCTCAGCGGCATTAACTCTGAGCCTCCTCTTGGGCCTCTTCCTTTGGCCTGCCTGCCTCACACAGTGGGAGGCAGAATGCTGTCACTTATTCAGTGTAAGTTTAGCTGCTGGAGGCAGATAGGGATGATTTCAGGCAGAACAGGTCCAGAGAAAGGTATTGGTTTCCCAGGAAAGCATCAGCGTTGGACCTCCTCCTCATCTTTGATGTGAGACTGCCATGTCTTGGTTTCTGCTTTATTAGAGTCAGGGAATTCAGCTTTCTGAGGATGGGGCCACTACTCCTGCATGAATGACCTGATCCTCTTGTTAATGAGAGGATGTGTGGATCACTGTGGCATTATCTGAGCCAGTCTTGATAAGCCAGGCTCCTGGCCCAATCAAGTAAACACTTGTAGAGTTTGCCCCAGATATTCTATTAACTTGTGGTACTGGGGTGACATGGCCTTAGAGGGACTGAAAAACAAATGGCTTATTCTTTACCCTGGGGACTTTGTAGAAGGGGTACTTTATATTTAACCCTCATCTATACCGTGAAAGCAAAGATGACCCAGAGAGGGTCAGGAGGAAAGAAAGTGTGTGCAGAGAAACAGCCCCACAGAGGATCCCTGTGACCCACTTACACCTGCCTTCATTCACATTCTCAGCAAATGCTTCTGAGACTAAGGCCGTGCTGGTCTTGTGTCCCCCAAGGACTCTGAACCATAATGGAGCAGCTCAGGGAAGAACAGAGGAATATTGATTGCACAGCTACTAAGTGCTGAGGGACTTGCCTATGCTGTCTTCAAACATTAGCTGCTTAGCAACCCTGTCCTTATGGAGAAACTGAACATCAGGGAGACTAATTAAGTTCTGCCCCCTGTTGAGTGGTTGAATAAGATGTAAGTCCAGTTCTGTCTGCTTCCTAGGCTCACTCTTCCTTCAGCTTTGGTTTCTCATTGTGTGATCTCACTCTGCCTTGTCCAGAGTTCTCCAGACAGCTTTGCCTTTAGCCAAAATGGATCTATGGTCAAAAAGGAAAAGGCGTTCATTCCTGAAGCAACATCTAAAAAATTAAGATATTCTTGTACAACCCGAACATGTCAATCTATGCTGCCAAGCACAGTGGGAGGCAGAATGCTGTCACTTATTCAGTGTGGGGCACCTAAAGGAAAGGATGTAAGAGAGGCAGCTGGTGGTTACAGAGGTGCTTTGGCTCTGGGGCATAATTAGGAGCATTCATTTTAAATTTAGTTAAACTGAAATGTCACAGTAGGAGCTAGGAGAAGATGTAAGTGTGGAGGATTTCCCTTCCTGCTTGCCCAGGAGCACTTTCCAAAGCCCCAAGAAAGACACATCACCCCTTTCTCAGGATCCTGTGTTATCAGCTGTGTACTCACCATACTTCCCATTCCGCCTCAGATGAGACTTGTCAGGTATGCCATCTGCTGTTGGGGCTGTGCTGAATGTGGCACTCTTTGGCATTGAGCACATGAGATTTGGATCTGAATGTGGGTGTGCTGTGAGCCTTTATGTGCTTGCAGGGACTTGGGTGCTGACATGGCTTTGTGTAAGAATGAGCTCTCCCCTGGTGTTGAGCCCTCTGTCAGAAGGCTCTGTCTTCTCTGTCCACTCTCAAAGATGGTAATTCACACTTGGAATGTAAATGGTGAGCCTTTAAATATGGCGCCATTTTGCATTGCACCAAGTGAATATCCATCCATATAAGTCTGTCTCCAAATGACCAAAACCCAGATGGCTTATGCCTAACTCAGAGATGTCCTGTTGGTATCCTCACCTTCGAAAGTGCTCTCACTGATGTGGCCAATGTTACTGTCTGGACAACAGCACAACCATCTACTAATGTTGCCTTTTCACTATATTTACTCCCACCCCCCAAGATAATTGCTCACATGTGGAACCTCTGCTTTTAATCTTTATTTTGCCACCTGACTAAAATAAATCTGAGCTAGGTTTCTCACTCTTTCTTATCTCTAACGAGCATTGCTTTCTTACCATTGATTTGCCTTTTGCTGGTGAAAGGTGTCTGACGAGAGGGAAATAAAGAACTATAGCATTTAAGTTTAGCAAAAGAGTGTATGTGTTCAATAATTTTGAACATTTAACCCCATATATATGTATTTTGTCAATGTATATGTTTTTATATATTCATATATAGAAAGATTTTCACTTATAAATCCCCAGAGGTAGAAATAATACAGTTGATTTTCCACTGCACCAATTCAAATTGCAACTTTACTCAAATCATTCATTTTTAGCAAAATGCAATATATCTATTCTATTTCAGATCAGATTTTCCATGCTTCCCTCCTCATTAAGCCTCTTATGAAGTTGTGATACTTCTCACATCATTTTGGCTGGGCAATGTTGCTCCATTGTTTGATCAAATACCAAGTAAAATTGTCTTTTAAAAATCCTGAAATGATTACCTTCCACAATGTGATAGGGATCAGTCAATCAGTAGAAGGCCTTAAGAACAAACAATGAGGTTTCTTGAAAAAGAAGCAAGTCTGTTTCAATAATACAATATAGAAGAAAATCTGCTTGAGCTTTGTGCCCTGCAGAATTTGGACTTATGACCATAACGTCTGCCCTTTATGTGATTTCCCAGCCTTCTGGTTTAGCCTGCAGATTTTAAACTTACCAGCCTCCACAATCACATTAGCTAACTTCTTCCTTTTTTGTGGTTCCAGGGATTGAACCCCAGGACTCATGCATGCTAGGCAAGTACTCTACCAGAGAGCCACATCCCCAGCCACATATACTCCAACTTCTTAAAAAAAAACCTGTCTCCTCTCATCCAAACACTTGTCGGTCTGTCAGTCAGTCAGTCTGTCTGTCTGTCTATCTACCTACCTACTTATTGGTTCTCTTTCCATTGGAGAATTGTGGCTATTATGGAAGGCATATTTACTTTTACAAATAGATGGATAATTGAGCAAAACACATCAAGAAGGAGAGGACAAGGAGAAAAAGGAAAGGGCATATATGGGTGGAAAACAGGAGGCGCAGCCACAGTTGGACACTACATACTGAATTACTCTTCCCTCAGGAACTGAACACCCTTTCATAGCTCATCTTGAAGATCCACAGAAATCTCATATAGAGAAAAAATCGTATAAGTGATATCTTTACATTTATTTAAAAATTGCCTTAAAGAATTTGCTATTGTCTATTATAAATTGTCTCCACAATTGCCCTACTTTAAACACACAGGAAGATCAAACCAGTGTCTACAGGTATCTCACCAAGGACAACCATATTCCCTTATATAGCTGCTTACCTATTTTGGTTATATTCACTTGTTGGCAAGTTAAATTCTTTCCTCCAAGCTTCACACATATATTGGTGTTTCCGATAAGTGAAAACTTTTTTTTCTTGATAAAGTATATGTTTTGTAGTTTATTCAAATTGAGGCAATTTATCCGCAGAAGGGAACCACTGTGGAAACAAAAAGGCAATCTGTGTTAATTTAGCTAGGAATTGTGTATCAAAGAGAATAATATTATAGGTATGTTTCAGCTTCCCTGTTCTTAGGGATATGGGTGGGTGAGTGCACACTCAAAAGAGAAAAAGAATAAACTAAATTGAGGTGGATTCCTGTCACTATTATTCTCAATGATTTACTTAGACATTAGATGCAGATGTACCTGAAATAGTCCAATCATGCCCCCAAATTCCTATATTTTTATAATAGATTATTAAAAAATAAACACTTTTTTAGGCAAAGATGCTTTTGTGATGTCCTCCAGAAATACTAGCTAGATGTAAGGGCTAAGAATCATTAACCAAGAGAATGAACAAAGGGGAAGTTAAAGGAAATGCTACAATAGTCTAAGAGTTATGTACGTAAAAGAACATACACTTAATGGGTAACTGATGGGATTTTTGTAGGTAATATTGGATGATGAACCCTAAACAAAACAGATCAAGAACAAAAAACAAAGATATAAATGACCAATATCTGGAAATAACAGGCGATATTACTATAGTTCATGAAGCATAATAAGAAAATTTTAAAAATTTATGCCTATTGGGACTGGTTTTGCGGCTCAGTGGCGAGAGCTTGCCTAGTACAGGTGAGACACAGGGGATGATCCTCAGTACCACATATAAATAAATAAAAATAAAGGTATTGTGTCCATCTACTACTAAAAATATAAATATCTGTGTATATATATAATTTATGCCAATACATGTAAAACTTCGACATAATAAAAAATCTTATAAATACAAGTTAGTAAAACTGACCTATATACAAATTGATCTGAATAGTTCTATTTCTTTAAAATAAATTATACTTTTTATCAACAAGTTCCCTAGGAAGTAAACTCTGAGCTTGTTGATTATAGGCTGGTGAATTCTATCAGGTGTATAAGAAAGAAATAGTGCCAATGTTACAAAAATTCTTCCAGAAAATAGAGGTGTTCATTCTGTGTGTTAAAAGTAGGCAAATTTGGAAACAATTTACACTAGAAATAGCAAAGTTGTCTAAGGCAATTTTTAAAAATCAACTTACTTTTTGAAGGTAGCTTAAACATGGAATCAAAACCTGTCAAAAATATTATACAAAAGGAAATCTGTAGACAAATGTATGCAAAAATTATTTTAAATTATTAAAATAAAAAATGTATGCAAAATTCCTCAAGAAAATATTAACATATTGATGTTAACAAATTATGGTCAAGTAGGGGTGAGTCCCAGGAAACCAAAATATGTTCAATATTCACAGATTAATCAATACAACATCATTTCAATAGAGTAAAAGACATAAATAATCTGTTCATCTTCAGCTGATGAAGAAAATGTACTTGAAAAAAATCAAACATCCATTCATGACAAAAACTCTCAGCTACCAAGGAATTGAAGGTTACTTAATAATAAAGGGCATTTTACAAAAAAATATATAGTTCATCACGTAAATAATAGTAAAATTGTGAACATTACATATTCTCCTAAGATCAGGATAAGCAATAGAGATCCCCTTTCTACATTTCTTTATTTTTAAAAATTTTTTTGGAGGAGGGTACCAGAAATTAAACTCAGGGGCACTCGACCACTGAGCCACATACCTAGCCCTATTTTGTACTTTTTTAGAGACAGGGTCTCACTGACTCAATTTAACGCCTCACTAAATCGCTGAGGCTGACTTTGAACTCAGGATCCTCCTGCCTCCACCTCCTGAGCTGCTGGGATTGCAGGTGTCTACATTTCAATTTATAGTATATCAGAGATTCTAGCCAGTTCCTAAGACAAGAGAATCAAACAAAATGTATTCTGATTAGAAAGGGAAAAATGTACTTCTTTTATTTGCACATTTATTCACATAAATCTATAAAGAACATCCAATACAACTGTAGGAACTAATAAATTCATCAAGGCCATTAGACAAAAGTTAATTCTATTTCTATAAGTTAATATCAAACAATGAGAAAAGGAGTTTAAAAATGACAGTTCCATTTATAATAACAATGAAAACATAAAACACTTAAAAATTTATAAAAGTTGTTCAAGGCTTTTGCATAGGACATTACAAAACATTGCTGAGAGCTATTACAGGAAAACTAATAAATGGAGAGATGCTGATGGGTTGGCAAATTCAAAATCAATAAAATGGAATGATCCCTAAATTGGACCATATAATACTAATAAAAAGTCTTAGAAGAAACTTAAAATGTTAATAAGTTGATTCTGAATCTTATGTGGAAATACCAGAAACTAGAATAGCCAAAGTAAAACTGAAACAAAATAAAACAAATATGGATGACTCAGAGCACTTGATTCAAACTTACTAAAACAAACTGTGATAATCAGAACAATGTGCTATTGACATAAGGACAGATAAATTGATGAATAGAAAGCGGAGTTTAAAATAGACCCACATGCTCAAGTTTGAGGTTAAATGATTTTGAATACAGAGACCCAATAAATTCAATGAGAGAAGGGAAAGTCTTTTTGGCAAATTGCCCTGAAAAAACTAAGTAAATGTGTGGACAATAGAAAACTCAGTTCTTCACAATTACATGAATGATACACCTACATGTAAAGGCTAAAATTATGAAACATTTAGAAAAAAAAAAGAAAACAAAATATATTTCCAATTTTGGGAGTTGTGAAGATACAAAAAAAAGCATTAAACATAAAAGAGATATTGGACTTCATTAAAATAAAAAGGCCTTGCTTATTAAAATACACCAGTAAGAAAATGACAAGATGTAGGGTGGGGTGGCAAACCCCTGTACTCCTAGGGAGGCTGACAGATGTAGTGCATGCTCTAGGTCAGCCTTGGCAACAGAGTGAGATCCTGTCTCAAAATTTTAAAAAAAATTAAAAATAATAAAGAAAGAAAAAGAAAAAAATGAAATGATTCTAACTAGCAGAAAATAGTGGCAATTCATATATCTGACAAAAGATTTTACCCAAAATTTAATATAGAAGAAAAGAATGGTAACAATGAGACATTATAGATATATTAATTAGCTTAACAGTGGTGATTATTTCACAATAGATATGTGTACCAAAAACCAACTTATATACCTCAAGATCCTAAATCCATAGCAGGTTTCTGGTATTTTCAGAATTTAGGAAGAATCCAAAATGGTATTCTTAGCTCATTGCAACTTTTAAGAGGATATGATTATGGCAATGGGCAACAAAGGACAACCATCTGACCTTCTTGTGAGGCTGAGCAAACTTTTAGTGGGTTTGAACTCCTGAAGCCGGAAGTTGTCCCACGTGGAAGGAAAGTCCTGCTGAGAGGTTAAATAAACCCAGAAGATTAGAAGAGGCAGTGTGTTTAGTGATGTTGACCTTCAATTCAGGTGATTGAAGGAAATAGTTTCTCTGTGAGTAGTCCTCCTCAATGCAATC